TCAAACACTTAGAAAAATATTTTAGCACCAAATATTTATTTGTTTACTTATTTTAAGGGAGATGGCAATCTTCTGGTTTCACATTTTGAGTACAAAAATTTCAAGCCTGATACAACAAATAGTATTAGTACATGATGCAATAATGAAAGGTGTTGTACGTTGTGACAGCTCGAAATCGAACTACCTTAGGTCAATATTGTATTTTGGAAGTACAAGATAAACGGGAATAAAAAAAGCCTTTTAGTTGAAAAAGTACTAAATTGTATGCCTTCTCAACAGCGTTCCGATTATCAGAAAAGGTATATATATGGCTTGGTAGTCTCGTAAAATTGTAGATAATTAAAATAATAAAATTAGGCGTGTTTTTATTTACAGGAATATGATAATATGCTTAAAATTTTCGAGCTGATGAATACCCAGCTAGAACAGTATGGCTTATATAATTCCTTTTATGAGCCGTATCACTAAGAAAATTATCCCTTATGAATTTGAAATGTGTCCCTTATATTGTACAGGCCAAAAAGAGGAATTCATTTACGTGTGACCTTTTGTCCCCCTCTTTCATATAGGCTTCTTGTGCGCATATATCAGGTTTCATAGCTGTTGACCATACCAATAATGCCTCATGCTCAGTTTTACTTGATCAATTCGTGTTCTCGAGAAAAAAAATTCCACGATTCAAAAATCTGAGTATAGCCGCCAAATTCTTTTCTCAAAATTTTGAAAATTCTTTGTTTTTTGCCCTATATTTGCTTTGTATGGTATTTTCAACAAAATATAGGCCAAAAACGATAAATGTTCAAACTTTGGAGAAAAACAATTTTTCAGATTTTTGGATCGTGAAAATTTTTTTTCTCGGAGAACACGAATTGATCTAGTGAATCTTAGTATGAGGCATTATTGGTATGGCCAACAGCTATCAAACCTGATATAGTCGCACTAAGGTTTTTTTGTGTTATACAAGGGATACTTTGAGGAATCATATAAGGAATTATACATTACCCAAGTCCACGTATATCCAAGTTCGTGTCATACAGCAAGCATTGACTACTTTTAAAAAATTTGTTTATTTGTTTTTGAAATTAACGACATATTTCAGAATTTGTAATTAATACGTTGTGTTCATTTTAGTAAATCCACTTTTTTAATTGTACAAAATTTATTATATACATACAGTATCGGTCATATCAATAGCAACCCCATTTCAAAGTGATATTATTTCCCTCTCATGTTAATTTATTTATTGCTTAGAATTTGCAACAAAAGTAAAGTTGAATTTCTAACAAAACCCATATAAACCGAATTTTAAAACATCGTAGAAAACTACAAAAAATACAACAAATTTTCAACCAAAATTCAAACTTTTTTCTCAGAAGTGTTAGAATTTTTTTGAGCACTCAGTTTTATAGCCCCTTCAATTCTAGTCTAATTATATGCAAGTTTGAAGTGGCTAAAAATTACCTTAGTTTTTTTAGAATCGATTAAAAACAAATCGTGTTTAATCGTCTTCCATATAACGAAAACTTCGACCATATATCGATGGCTGAGTAGAAGATCGACCTATCTCGGCAGCCAGGTCGAAAACGCCCGATATCAGAAAGCTTTTCAACGCCCTATTTCAAAATTTGGCTGAAAAACGCCCTATTTTAGAATTTGATTGAAAAATGCCCTATCTCGGAACTCGGTTCAAAAACACCCTATCTCAGCACATTTTCGAAGTATTTTTATTTGAGATAGGACTTTTTTGAACCGACTAATAATAATAAAATATGTACTATCTACATATCTAGTTTCAATATAAAAAAATTTATGTACACCATTAATTGTGTATACATATCTAAGTCAATATATGTGATATACATGTACATACATCTACATACATATCGTCGTTTAAAGTACAAAACCATGTATCAATAAATTGCAAAACCGCGTATAGAGCAGAGAACAGCTTTGAGTATGATCGAGCCTCTTTGATCACACTCACTAAAAATCAAGCACAAGCGAACGCCACACTCGGCTACTATGTGTTCGATCGAGATGCATACCCGACAGCTGCTTTGGTTACGAACGAGTCTGTTCGATCACCCTCGCTATAAATTGAGCACAAGCGAACACCACACTCGGACACCCGCAGCTAACCCGAAAATTTGTGTAACAATGAAACGGACACCCGAACATTGCGATAAAATGCAGGACAACAAAGAAATTTACGCTGAAGGTAACTGGCGCCAATATGTTCCCACAAAGCATACGAAAATGTTGTTGCTTTGTGCTTGTGCATACGCAATGAAACAATTGGAAGCGAAGTAGACAAAAATGTTTTTGCATCTATTTCGTATAGTTTCGCGTGGAAAGCTGTGTGTTTATATATTAGAACACAGCCTAAAACTATGTAGGTACATAAGTACTTTTACAAAAAATAAATGTGCACCGAGTGTATAGGGCTTGGGCATTGCCGATCTACACACATTTATACCTAAATGGATGTAGGCGTCGTGATGCCGCATTTTGTATGAGCAAAAATATAAGAAATGGTTAAATGTACACTTAAACAAACTACCGAAAAATTCAACCTTCTCTTTACCCTCTACGCACAAAAACTAAGAACACCGCGATGAGAAGGCAACATTTTTTGTAGAAACAAAAACGTCATAAGCCAATCAAGAAAATTTTGTGCACACTCGGGTGGAAACTCGAACACCCGGGTATATTGAGCTGCAAAGCACCCGAACCCAATCAAGTATGTATGAAAAGCAATCGGGTGTTGTGGCCAACATGTTCGTCTTGAGCTCAGTCGATAACGAACAATACTTCTGCTCGTATACAGAGAACGATGCAAAACGGGTTTTGTTAGATGATCGAGTATACACGAAAATCATGCACCCGCTGCAGATGTCTGGTATAGAGATAATGCAAGCCCACGTATGCGAGGTTGCATAAATTAATTTCTAGAGAGTAAAAACACTCATATTTCAAAATGGTTATCTTTTTGTAAAAAGCAATCGCATTTTTGGCTAGTATATTTCAGGAAGAATGGATAAGGATTGATCCAAAAACGTGTGTGAGCGAATCCAATTTTTAGCAGCAAATTTTACGCGGTTTTGTACTTTAAGCGACGATATGTATGTTAACAGGAACGCAGCAATCTAATACACGGGTGGAGCAGGAACGCAGCACAGCAGAAGCATACAAAAAATCTGCAAATAAATGGTTTTTTAACAAACGAGAACCTGGTTTCAACTTACTTCAACGTGTCTAAATCACAACGCACACACTAATGCAAAGGCGCAACAGGAACGCAACACTATAAAATACGGGCGGAGCAATATACAGGCGGAGCAGGAACGCAGCACAGCAGAATCGTCCGAAAAATCTGCGAATAAATGGTTCATTAGGTTTTGAAATAACAAAGAGCTCAAATGGAATGGTTCATCAATAAAGTCAAAATAATATGTTGTAACTTACGTGTATTAGCTCTTAATCACAATACCAGCACAGGTCGGTCAGCGAAACACTAAGGAAATGACCTAATAAATGCAAAATTATAATTTATTTGTAAAATAATTCGGTTTTATTACAATACTTACCAAATTTCACGCAATTGGAAAACAAATGTCAGCGAATAAGAACAAAACGAACAACGAAAATTGAATCAATGTAGCTTGTTCAGAATTTTTTTCTAATATTTTGGGAAATGTTCAGTGAAAATAGCAAAGAAACAACACAGTTTCTCCTAAGGTAGTTCAAGATGGCGGATTAGAGCGAGAAGTTGCCAACGTATAACACCTTTCATTATTGCATCATGGTATTAGTACTGAATGATAATGACAGATTGCATTCCCATAAACGTCCAATCATACATGATTGAGTTTTTTTTTTTGCATTCACATTCTCTATGTGAATGGGTGTCAACCATTCCATAACACACTACATATTTTGTGTTTACAATTTGTAACCAATCTCAAGAGTGGTTGTTAAATTTTTTAAATCAAACAATCACATTTTTGAAACGAAAAAAATGAGAATGCACACTCAATTGATTCAATCATTACACAGCTCTGATGAGTAGTTATTTTACAACGCTTTTATCAACATACAATTTTGTTTATTTTTTTTTTTGTTATTTGTGGCTTTTATAACAATTATATTCCACAATATTTATTGATCTTGAGGCCTTTTTTTATGAAAAATGGTGTGGAAAAACAACAGTAATTTAGGTCGAAGTTATAGCTGCTATTTCGGAGATCACCACATCTACTCGTCAGACTTCTTCATAAAAAATTGCCTAAATCTCAATAAAAATTGTTAAATATTTTTATTGAGCTTTGTACCACGATTGTTTATTAGGAAAAATTGAAAAAGCAACAAAGTCTAAGCGGTAGAAGTTATAGCACTATTTCGGAGATCACCACATCTCCTCATCATACTTCTTTTTTCTAGACTTCAGCAGGGATCGAACCTGCGAATTCGGTGTTCTAAGTCAGAAGCGTTAACCACTGAGCTATGTACATCCCGTAAACTCTTGTTGCTATTTCATTTTCCTTATTCAACCAACTACTATCAAGTGCAGCTGATTTGCCGCTATTTTAAACTCGACAGCATGGTTGTTGTTGTCAATTCTATACATCCATTTGCTTATTTGCTTTTTTGTATAGTTTCAGGCAGGCTCTTCCTAAACTATGTATTTGTCAATGTTATTGTGGCTTGTTAACATTTTTTATTTTTAATATTTTTATTGAGCTTTGTTCCACGTTTGTTTATTAGGAAAAATTGAAAAAGCAACAAAGTCTAAGCGGTAGAAGTTATAGCACTATTTCGGAGATCACCACACATTTCCTCATCAGACTTCTTTTTTCTAGACTTCAGCAGGGATCG